GGGGGGAGGGCAGCAGAGCCCAGTGCTGCCCAGTTGCCCTCACGTATGGTCCTACCCATAGCTACAGGACCTCTCCATAACTTCTCCCCTCACCCATGCAAGCCATACAGATACTTTCTCCATTCCCTCTCCCCCATGCTTGGCATCCTCTTCCACCCCACCTCTGATGCTTGTGAACTTCCTACCCCGAGGCCACCTCCAGCCACACCACAGGTGGCTCCAGGAGGCCAAAACAGAGCTGTACTCTCCTGCTGGCTGTCATCCCCCCTGCTCACCGCTCTCCGGCAGTCTACCTTTGATGGCCCTGCCAATGACCTGCTGCGTCAGGTCTGTGGCCGTGCTCCAGCTCAGGCCCTGGTCGGTGCTGGTGACGCAGCAGAGGCGGGTGACGTTCTGGCCAGTGACGATTTGGTAGGCTTCGGGTGTCCTGCCCAGCACGGTGATGAAAAAAAGGAATAGGGTGCCAGTGAACTCGTCGTAGAGCGGGCAGGGGTTCATCGACCGGTGGTGCTGCAGTGTCGCCGTCTCCAGCACGCGCATGTCTTCCCACTGTCCACGGAGGAGGAGAAGATGGAGAGGGGTGAGGACCACCCCCTTTCTCCCTGTCTCCGTGCCCCCAGCCCAGTATGTCCCCCCCAACCCCGGGTGTGTCCCATGTCCCACCTCCACGTAGCTCCCGTAGACGGTGCCGCGGCGCATCACCAACACATTAGCATGGGCATCGTCGGCGCTCAGCCGCTCCTCCGCGAAAGCCAGCAGCTTGGCCACGCAGGGCAGGTAGAGCAGGGCAGGCACACGGTACGTGACGCCGTTGGACTCCTTCTCGAAGAGCACGGTGCGGGCAGGGAAGTGCCGGGAGCCCATGGTGGCTGTGGCAGAAAGACGCAGCCCCACCGTGGTGGGTTGATGAAGGTGGGGAACGATCGGCTGCTGGGCATGGCCAGGGGTGCAGGTCGAAAGCTGGATTGTCCTGGAGGGGTTTGGGTTTGGGGGACCCCCGAGGAGCAGGGGCTGGAGGGCAGGGTTGGGGTTGAGAGGAGCTGAATGTGTGCAGCAGTGGTGGCAAGTCACAGCCGCGCAAAGGTGGGACACGATTTTGGGGCACACCTGGAGAGGCTGACCTGGGCTACTCCAAAATAAAATTAAATTGAGCTGCAAGATGCTCTTCAAAAAGCAGTTTCTGGTAAATGGAGGGCAGTCAGCAAAGGGCAGGGTGAGACCTGTGTTTCCCTGTGCCCATCACCAAGTGGGCATTGAGGGGGCAGAGCTCAACTCTGCACAGGTGAGACCCCGGGACTGGCCCAGGGTCCCCCGAGGGGATTGAGGAGGTTGTTCTTTTGTTTGGTTTTTTGGTGGGTTTTTTTTTGTCCACAGCTCCTCGCTTCCGCCTGCCCTGCGGGGAAAACCCGGTGTGCACAACACGAACCATCGGGTACCTGGCCCTGCTGTCCCTGCGGCAGCGGGGTGGAAAGCTGTCCCCAAACGCGTTTCCTTCTGTCACCAGCTGTCCCCAGGCTACATGTCCCTACGTGTCCTTACGTGTCCCAGGATCTCACTGCGGGAGGAGACAGGCATCCTGCCCGAGTGGCCAAGGACGACTTTCATCCACATTTACGAGGGGCATTTGCTGTTCACCCACAAACCCCCCGGAGAAAGCAAAGGCACTCACCGGGTCTTGCTCAGCTGAGGTGCTCCCTCCGTTCCTCGCCCTCACCGCGCGGTAACGCCGGCTACC